TATCCTTCCTTTCTTCTTAAGACACTGGAAAAGGTTATAGATAATATAATATATAAGGGTGCAGCTCCAGCTATGAGCCCCATACATTACAACCAGCATGCTAACCGCAGAGACAAATTGACGGAAACAGCCTTGATCAGTGTCAAAAAAGCACTGGAGGATAAAGAAATAGCTCTTTGTGCTTTTCTAGATATTGAGGGCGCCTTCGACAATAGTCCCACATCACTGCTGATTGGGGGCCTGACATCTAAAAACGTTGAGCCCACCACCATCAGGTGGGTTAAGTCGATGCTCCCAAATAGAAAGGCAAAAATAGCGCTGTTTCAAACTTCAATTGAGGTTGCAGCTACAAGAGGTTGCCCACAAGATGGCTTACGCATTAACACTGTGATTACGCATACACTTACGCATTAACAATTGTGGTCATTGCATTTGCCAAAATACTTTATCGTTAATCATACAAAGATCGTAAATCATATAAAGATCATAAATAACTGTAATAGTGTAATAGTGAGGCCGATTCTTACCTACGCCTCCACTGTCTGGTGCAACAAAGCCAATCAAAAGATGACTGCGGACAGACTAGATAGTCTACAAAGGACTGCCTGCTTGATGGCAACTGGAGTAATGCGATCATCGCCTGGAGCGGCTCTGCATCTGCATCTGCATAGAGAGTGCATTAAGCACTTCTATGCCTAACGCTCCTTGATCTTTATCTAGACAAGGAGGCGAGGGCTAGTTTGTATAGTATCAACGCCCAGGGCGGTTTGAGCTTGCTCTACTACAGATTGAGATCCATGCTCGACTCAATTAAGGAAACCGTTCTTATGTATGATCTCAGATATCATGCGTCTACTATACACTTTTGATAAAAAGTTTATAGTGGAACTACCCTCCAGAGAAAACTGGCTGAATGGCCAGTTGGTCTGTGAGGTGTGGAGTGGAATTTATGGTGAACGCCCCAAATTCAAACTTAGATAGATTCACCTCTATCTTCTAGGTAGAAATTTTCATCATACTTTAGTGTGCAGAAATCAATCTACAACACTACGTCAACCATATAATTTATATATACTCTTATAGTTAAGCAGCACTGCTAGCGCTGAGGTCAAATTTAGTGAACTCGAAGCTAGTTGGAGATTGCGTGAACCATTTAAACGCCCTGGGATGTAACAACAGGGTCGTATTAAGATGGGTTGCGAGTCACGCAAGTATTGTAGGCAATAAATTTACCGACAAATTCGCACGAGAGGGCTAAAAGTGTACACAATTTGGACCTGAGCCATTTTGTGGCACCTCAAAAAACCTAGCCTGATTGACCCTTGAAGCTCTTTATCACATGAAATTACTTAAGATCTGGTCTAATACACCAGGCTTAAAACATTCTAAAACCTTAATCCGATATTATGACCGCAAATTCGCTTCAGATGCCCTAGGATTAAGTAAAAACAAAAATAAATTGGCAAACTGGCGAGAGCCCTAGCTGGATGCTGTTGTCTTAAAAAGCACATATTCATCCTGGGACTAAGCAACTCAAAGATATGTCGGTTCTGTTCAATAACGGAAGAAACGCCTCTGCATAATGTCTTATGGAATTTTACTATGGGGTAATGCGACTGACAGTGAAGTCATATTCGTTTTGCAAAAGAGGGCGGCACGGGCAATTTATAACTTAAATTGTAAAGAGTCGCTTAGATAAAAATTTAAGGAAATAAACATATTAACTTTGGCATCGGAGTATACTTATGAAAATGTAATGAATTGTATGTACATAAAACATAAATAGCTTTAATAAGAATACAATACAATACAATACAATACTCTTTATTGCACACAAAATAATACAAAGAACAACAAACTAAAAATTGATAAATTTATGTACAATTAGGTGGCCTTATCGCTAAACAGCGATCTCTTCCAGGCAAACCTTGGTGAAGGAGATCTTTTACATACAAAAATATAGAAGTGTGCATAAATAGTAGATAAAAATCATTCATAACACATAACATATATATACATACATAATCATACACATATATACATACATATATATATATATATATATATATACATACATATTTATACATATACATATTTATAAATATTTTTGTAACACATTATAGCTACATATTATATACATACCATATATACACAAACCTTATCAAGTATAGTAGATATGATAATGAAATATATTAAGTAGAACACATATTTAAATAAAAATTTTTAACCAGTTTTTTGAAAGACTCAATGCTTTGGGCTTTCTTAATTGTTAAAGGAATCGAGTTCCATAATTTAATTGCTTTGACACAAAAGGAAGAATTAAAAAATTTTGAATTGTGTAATACCAGTTACTAGATTCCACAGAATTAGTAATTCATTTGGGGGGGGGGGGGCAATGTATACGCTTTTACAACAAAATCCCAGAAAATGTACAAAATTTATCATTAAACAAGCTTAAATGTTTTATTACAGAATTTTTTTACAAAAAGGTAATTTTAATATAAACGAATTCATAATTGAAAATAACCCCTGGGAATGAGATGACCACCACTATTCTTGTTCTATAAAAATTCATACAAAAATTGTGCAAAATAAATTCATTGTAAATTGAAATACGTTTAAAAAAAAGTCCCGCTGGATTTCTTGCATGTTCTTCCCAGGACAGAGGTTGTTTTGCGAACCAGTGTTAAATAAAAAATGACGTTCAATAAGTATTACAATAATAAATATTGAATAAAAATCATTCAATCATGAAAATGTGATATTTTTATCGAACGCATACAGCGAAGTAGGGAAATCTCTTGGCCAAATATTTTGGTGGAATTTCAGCCTTATTCCTTCGCAAACCGCGTCTATATACCAAAAATTCGAACCTGTTGTTTGACAATAGTTACAGCCTATATACGTCCTAATGCTGGGCACATACATGCCTCCCCTCTCATTTCTGAGATGGTTTTAGGACAAGAAAGTGTCCGCCGCGCTGCCCCAATATGCATGTTGGCGGACTCTTCACATGTCTTCATATTTTTTTATTTCTCAGACATGTAGGTTCCCTCGCGATGTTTTTCTTCACCGTCGAGTACGTGGTAAATCAACACATAAAAATGCAAATAACAATTACGTTGGTGCCGTCGAGGATCGAACCCGGGTTGCTCGCGTACTGTGGAATTTACAACGAGTGTCAATCATCTGATCTAACACTTTTATGACATAAAGTTACAGCCTATATACGTCCCACTGCTGGGCTCAGGCCTCCCCTCATTTCTGAGAGGGTTTAGGGTAAGGAAGTGTCCGCCGCGCTGCCCAAATGCGTGTTGACGAACTTCACATGTCTTCGAAATATTTTTTTTCTTATTCCTCAGACATGCAGGTTTCGTCACGATGTTTTCCTTCACCGCCGAGCACGTGGTAAATCAGCACTTAAAATTGCAATTAACAATTTCATTGGTGCCGGCGGGGATCGAACCCGGGTTACTCGCGTTCTGTTATATTTACAGCGAGCGTTAACCACTGCGCTACCACGGCTCTTTTTTGACATTGTAGCTCTAAAAATGTCAGGCTTTTATATAGTATGGTATACATATAAAATATAGTAGATATTTTATGTAGGAGAGATGAAATCTCTGAGATAGATTGATCGACATTGAGAGAAGATACATAATTAACTACAGTAGACCACATTAAACGATCCACAGTAGTTAATTACGTTTGTAACCAAATATCAAGACTTTTCATAGCAATCAGGTTTTATTGTAAGGACTTTTTAATTTTCCATTTGGTAACCCTAGTCATGAGTGAACCCAACAGATAATTACTCGTAAACTAATGAGCGTTTACACATCTCTATGTGTCACGGGCAGCTAAATACGGAAGGTACATGCGAGAACATGTACAGAACACAAGGTTAATTTGTCGCTGAAACTAATTTAAATAATAAACACGTGGATAATATGTTGTGGTTCTAGTGTTAAAAGCAGAAATTATTTTCAATAAGCAGTACGTGTAATGTATATTATATAATTTTTTTTTCTGATTTCTAATATTTACGCGATTACTACACAATAAATAAAAATAATCTACGGATTTTTTGCGTTAAAATTTTTAATTCCCGACGTTTCAGGTGTTTTACAGCAGCCATGGTCCTGTACATACATGGTCACGGGACTGTGGTGTTTGATGTCCCGATATTTTCAGCTACTTTCAGCTTTTGAATACTAATTTTAATTTTTGGTCTAATCTACGGAGAGCAAGCTAAGTATATACAGTATCTTGAAGTCTTGCAGCCGTTTGGGTTTGGATTTAATTTTATTAATTATGGGATCCCAAGTAGATGCCAACACCCATCCATCTTTTCTATTGAAATTAGGATGTATTCTAATTTTTAATAGCCTCGCGAATCATCCTAGAAGTCGGTGTTCTCTTGCGAGGATTTATGGTCTATTAGATCTGATATAATGGCGACGATCACATGGGTGCTGCAAAGCACCCGAAATGTCAAAAATTTAAAAGTAACCGCAATAAAAATCCGTGAATTAGTTTTATTTTATTTTATTCTATTGTATTATAAAACAAATTACACGGTATTAGTAATAGAACATTCATAAACATAAAATTTATTTCTAGCTCCTCAGAAACATTTGCGACCATAGCTTTATTATCTTTATCATCATTATTTCAGCCTATCATCGTCTACTGCTGAACATAGGGCTCCCCAGTTAATAGGAATCAGAGGGAGGATGTTAGTCACAGTTGTTACATTTAGCAGGCGGGTTGACCTACTGTATCTTTTTATTATTTTGTGTTCATGAAGACGCTGCTGGCTATATCCTAATTCTGTTTCCCTCTGTCGCCTTTTACAACATTCACACGACGATATGGGATAGTCAACTCTTTTACGCGGCCACTACACGGCGTGAGCCTTATTGATTAGCGATTGTGTGCCTCTTATTAAAATAAACTATTAAATAAATAAAATTTAAAAAGAAAAATTAATAACTCACCACAGGCTGCATGTTGGTTGGCGACTGGCCAGCTGTTCTCAATCAGAGGTCGCTATTTATACGCCCAGGATATCGATTTTCCCTAGCACCGTTACGTAACTTACACACGCCGGAAACAAATGTTTGGTTCCTCTGTCAGGACCACTTCTCATAAGATACCTTTGCACATTACTGAAATTGAGGATACTGAGAATCCTTACACAACCAGTCCTTCGATAACAAACTAATTAATTAATTTAGAAAATTCAAATAAATCAATTAATAAAACTATCATAGACTGTTGGCCTCTGGTGATGAAATACGTAGTGGATGGAAGGCAAAAAAATACTAAAGGATCTTTTTAAACACGCACAATTGAGTCAGGATTACGGAATAGAGTGTCCCGGTATACGCAATGGATTTAAAATACGTCTCTGCTCAGTGGCGCCACCAAGCCGACTGGCGGTAAGAGCATGAAGCTCGCGGCTGCACGGCGCTCCACGCACACATAAACAGCATTGTTCATTAATAGTTACTATGTTTACGTTATTAAGGTTCAGATTGACTTGTCATTGAAAAAGATACAATCTAAGCCTACATTTTCGGTAGCATTCTACTTTATTTTAATTGTAATAAGGTTCAAATAATTAAATTTATTAGATAGTTCGATATTGAATAAAAATGTTTCAGCATTGACGGAAAATAGAGACATGGCGTCGTTAATACACTTGTCACAGATAATTGCGAGGGATTTTCATTGTATTGCTAACGCCAGGGGTTTGTTCTTTATTTGTTCCAATTTTATCATGGGTTAATGATCCAACAGAGTAACAAACCTAAGTAACCTAATATCCAAAATTGAAATGAAATTAAATATGTGATATATACAATGCTAATATCTATTATTATTATTACGTAAAACAGTGATAGATAAAAGCAGTGTTAGTTAATAAATTGTGTACTAGCCTTTCTCGTTTAGTGCTCGTAATCGCGATAGCTGATCGTAAAGTTCTGGGTTCACATCCCGGGCCGGGTCAAAATCTGTTATTGGGCTTTTCTGACAAGAAATTCTCAATAGCAGCCCGGAGTCAATAAGTTGGAGGTGTTTGACCTTCGTGCTTAGGAAACCACGTAAAGCCGTTGGCCTCTACGGTCGCGTCGGATTACCGTTCTATCGGGCTATGGTGATGGAATAGAGAGTGCACGTATGCTTGCACATACACTTGGGCACTATAATCCTGTCCTGCGCCGTTGGCTAGTCTCCATTGAGGCGGGCTGCCGTGACCTAAATTCGGTCTGAAAGACATTATTATAGATAGCCCAAACTGAATGGTATATAATAAAGTGGAGCTACGTTGTAGTTATATTATGAATGCAGCACGAATGCGTCGACTTGACCGGGAAATGAATACGCTCGCACAGAGTACCAGAGTAATGCTTCAGTGTTTCGTACGGTGAGTGACAAGAAACGAAGACCCTTTTTTATACGATAAGTGTGACAAACGAGCACACAGTCCACCTGATGGTAAGTGGTAAACAATTCCACGAAAAAGTAGTGCGAGGAAGAAAACTCTTTGTAAATCACACAGTGGCGGACCGCCAAGTATCCAGATGATGTGAATAGTAACGTAACATAACTAGTTCAGTCGCGATGTGCGTCGGTGGAATTTGGCGGCTGCAATTAAGCCAAACAATTCTTCTGAGCACTCCCCGTTGTAAATGCGATAGAAAATACAAAGAAATCCAAAACCTCTTTGCAGTGTTAGTAAATTGGTTTGATCAGAATTAATTCAATCGTCGACGAATCGAGCTGATTTGCGCTTGAACTGGTCAAGTGGAAGGAGCGAAGACAAGAAGATTAATCGAAGATAAATGTAGGCGTCTATGGTTTAAATTATCTACTTACTATCTGTGGACTGTAGAAATGCACAGGGCGGGTGATAGGTGCTCTACAGTAATATATTAGTAGTGATTTTTTGGGTTGAGAGAGAGAGATCACAAGTTAAAGAATTGTAGGTAATCTACCCAATAACAAGAAGAGATCTGCACTCAATCAGATCTGAATAATTTTTTTAAATATTTTTTTATGATTTTCAACAAAGCTTGAAAAAATCCTGCAAGTAAGATTAACATAAGTAATTAACATAAGAAGTAACGTTGCCAGTTCAGAGTTTAAAATAATCGTGTTAAAGAAATTAAGTAGCTTCAATTTCTTGCGCTCTCTTAATTACAAAATTCTTGTTCATCAGCGCTATTACTATGAAAATATCGTGAGATGTGATTATCTTTTATTAAATTATGATCATTAATAGTATTGATAGCCATAACTGTGAGATAAATAAAAATTTTAAGCAAACGCTACGTCTTTGTAACCTCGCAAGCTACGTCATCCGAACCGCTACGGAATGCCTACGTCATAACTTATAAATAGTCGCTACGCATGCTCTACGCTTCTCGTAGCACGGTTGACGTAACCACGTAGCTACGCCAATTGATTTTATACTTGACACTGTTTGGATTTTTCAATTAGTTCCACGGAGTACTCTTAATATATTTTTCACATAATTATTTAAAGAATTTTATTTTAATAACATTAATATTCTCGCGTAAAATTTTTCATAACGGATGAAATTAATTATAATTAAAAATACAATTAACAATTTCCTAGGTGCCAGTGATGCGCTTAGTCCCTGAGATATGATGATGATGGCTTTATAGTAATAATAATAATAATAACCTATGGCGAAAACAAGTTAGTCGATTAAAATCATTCTTCTATACAAAATCCCATACTAGCAATATTCATAAAGCCATCGTAAAGAATGATATTAACTACACTCCACTTAACTTAAGCAATCAGATTGTACAATCTTCAAACTTAAGAAATCAGATCATACAATCAAAGGCTTAAAAGAATCCTCAGTTCAGGCCTAAATGGACGCAACCTCACTAAAGCAATTAACACCTTTGCCATCCCAGTATTAACTTACACGTTTGGAGTAGTTAACTGGTCAGATACTGAACTGGCAAAAATTGAGAGGTCTACTCGCGTCATGCTTACTAAATATCTTATACATCACCCAAAATCAGCCGTGGAGCGGGTAACTCTATCTCGAGCCAATGGCGGTAGAGGACTGATAGATATTCGTAGATTGTGTGCTAAACAGATTCGGAGTCTTCGAAGTTATTTCCTTTCGCAAACGTCCTCTCCCCTGCATCAAGCAGTAATAAAGGCTGATGACCGTCTAACAACGCTCGATCTCCTTCATGCCGACAATTTCCCACCGTTAGAGACTGACACTGAATACAAAGAAACCAAACTCCAGCAATGGGCCTCAAAACCTCTTCACGGTCGATTCGCTAATGAACTGAGTCAACCACATGTCTATATTGAAGCGTCGAACAACTGGCTCGGACATGGTGAGATCTTTGCTGAAACTAACCAGCGGTTAGCTGAAGAATCCTACAGTTAAGGCGACAGCAGCAGGTACTTATCGTCCCGCTGATTCTCTCTACCACGGGAGTTGTTCCTAAATCCCTTACTGACAATTTAGCTAACATGGGCATTTCAGTGAGGGTGAGGAACAAAATTCAAAAAGCCGTAATTTTGGATACGACAGCGATAGTACGTCGCCACCCTCACAATTTAAACAAAAGAGCAGCATCTTGCAATCAGCCGATGCCACATCTTAAAACCCTAAAAGGAGTGTTAATGGATAACCCACAATAATAACCTATGGCGGAAACTTAAAAAGTTAGTCGATTAAAATCATTCTTCTATACAAAATCCCATACTAGCAATATTCATAAAGCCATCGTAACGAATGATATTAACTACACTCCACTTAACTTAAGCAATCAGATTGAATCCCAAAACACTACCAGTGATAACCCACAGACACACAAAATTGACGAATGGAAGAAGAAAGTTCTCCACGGTCGGCACCCTCATGACTTAGAGCAATCCCACATAAATAAGTTATCTTCAAATAAGTGGCTGAAAATAGGCAACTTATTCCCAGAAACAGAAGTATTTATAATAGCTATTCAAGACCAGATCATAAACACAAAAAATTACAGAAAATATATAATCAAAGATCCTACAGTAAATAATGACAAATGTCGCAAATGCCACACACATCCAGAAACCATTCAACACATCACAGGCGCATGCACAACTCTTACACAGACTGACTACACTCACAGACACAACCAAGTGGCCAATGTCATTCACCAAAAAATAGCACTCAAACATGCACTCATTCAAGATGCCAACACTCCGTACTACAATTATACACCAAAACCTACTCTATAAAACACCACACATAAACTTTTTTACGACCGCGGCATTCTCATCGATAGGACAATCCACTATAACCGACCAGATATAATTCTACAAGATAATGTAAATAATATTACTTACCTGATAGACATTGCAGTCTTCAACACACACAACTTGCAGAAGACGATAACTGAAAAAATTTGTAAGTACGCAAAACTTAAAGATGAATAAGCAAGCAGTGCTTAGCATTTCCGACCGGGAGACCGTGTGGAAGGAGAAGGAGCTCCACAGGAGGTACTACAAGGCTCTACATGAGCCCTTCGTAGATACAGTCGCCTCCCTCAACTGGCTACGTTTCAGTGACCTCTTCGGGGGAAACCGAGGGTTTTGTCTGTGCAATACAGGATCAGGTTATTAAGACCAACAACTATCGGAGATATATCCTAAAGGATGGCACCGTCGAAGTCTGTCGAGCTTGTCGCCATCCCGGGGAGTCACTTAGGCATGTCATCTCCGGTTGTTCAGCGCTTTCTAACTCTGAGTACTTGCACAGGCACAACCTAGTAGCCAGAATTCTACACCAGGAGCTCGCTCTGAAATACGGTCTCGTGTCTCTGAAATACCGGAAAGTGCCGTATTACAAGTACTTGCTGGAAGCCGTGCTCGAAAATGACCGCGCCAGGCTCTACTGGGATCAGGCCATCATCACAGACAGGATTATTATTGCTAATAAGCCTGATATTGTGCTGAT